GTTGAGGCAGTGGGGGCGGGAGCTGCACCAATCAGATCTTCTTTATTGTAAAGACATGCAGCTGAAGACTAGGAATTATCCACTTCCTCGTTCCCAGATCAGCTCGTGACTAAATGCCCCAGTCGTTACCCAGACACAAAGCCTGGTATTCCCATGAGATTTATTGCTTTGAAACCAGTGAAGCAGAAAATACATTATGACTGCATAAAAAAATGATGAAAAGAAATGATGCATTAAGCGGTGGGGTTCCCTTCTCACAGCGGTTTGGAATACAAAACACGGATGCAGTTCCTCTAAAGAGGTAAATACGATTGGTATGTGTAACAATTGAAGTGACTGATTAGAGCTGGTAAGTATAGTAAAAGAGCTCTGATGGGTAAGCAGTGCAAAGAAACTCTACAAGCGTATTGGGAAGCTGAAAGCCAGTCGGAGGAAAAAAAACAGATTGTGAGAATCCCTACAACATGTGAGATTATTTACTTTTTTCCTTCGGAGAAGATTTAAATCGACTCGGGGAACCACAATAAGCTCGTCCTTAGATGCTAGAAACACATAAACTGCAAGGAAAATATAGAACAAGAGTAGTCAGTCGATGCCATTCACATTCCCGACAGCTGGGCATTTAAACACTGAACAAGGATCTGATAAATAGAAAGAAAACGTCGTCGACAGATTAATGCCAAATCAGAAAAGCTCGGGGCGAGATTTGATCCCCTTTATTGATTTTCTCCTTCCTTGCTTTGCTGACGAGTTGAAACAGAGACACGTAAAGGATTTAAAGGAGAGAATTGCAGATGCAGCTTCCTGATAAACGTGTTTTCCATCCTGATCCAAGATGGCTGACTGCCGGGTGTGAAGAAAGCCAAAAGGAGGCACGGGACCCAGCAGACGCTGTACACCACAGAACGACCAAATGGAAACACGGAACATTATGTTAAGAAAGAACAAGCTACCTGGTAACATTAGACCGCCGGTGTCTGGGACAAACATTACTTGTGGTTTTTGACTGTTCCTCCTTATGTCCTAAAACAGCTTCACTCAGCAATCAAAAATAATTTGGCTATTACAGAGACGAGCGGTAAACTCGTGCCCACTCGAAGGCCGAGAGGGATTCATTTTACTCGACGGTGTGACCGTAAATCCTGCACGTTAGTCCCTAACAATCGGAGGCACGGACTAAATTTGACATCCATTCATTCTTTAATGTTATTTGTGCAGTCTCCTGTACACAGAAAACACTCCTAACCTTTCCATTATTCAGGTTCAGTGCCTATAGTCATGTTTTATTAATCTATTGTGTGAAATCCAGCCTTCACGTGGAGACCACAGGAGCTGCAAAAGCACATCATGAGCCCGCAACTACGACCTGAGGATTTGACTTTCCGATCGACTGAGCAAAGAAAATAAATGACTTAATGAAGGGCATCTTTGTTTCCAGCATCACAACAGACACCAGAACAAGAAGCTCGACGGGAACATTTCACGCTGCGAGGAGGCAGATGTGCTAAAGAGCTGCACCACAATGAGCTAAATGCTCAAAGGGATGAAGTTCGAGTGGCCCAAGAACCTCCATAGTTTCTACGGCGAACAGCGTAGCTTAATCTCCTGTCAGCTCCCCTCAAGCTAGTCTCCCGGGACTCGGCGCTCTCTCTCTCTCTCTCTCCCTCCATCCATCACCTCAGCGGGGACCAAAGGGAGACTCCCCAAAGGAGCGGGGATCAGAGCAATTTGCATTCGCACTCAAACCATCAAGGCCCCAATAATCCTGTGGTGGCTCTCTCCGTTTCACTGTATCGCACGCTGTCATCTGAAATGAAATGTAAAATGCCGCGACGCGGCCATGGGAGTCTTTTCATCAGAAGAGGGGAAGTAAAAATGCTAATTGCAATGTTTCAACGGCATTCCTTCTGCGAGCCATTAGAAGGAAACATTCAACTGTCTGTTGTTTCGGCGCTCAAAATCAAACATCGGTATGAACACTGCTCATGAATATCCCTGCAGGTATCCTCCGACGCCAACTGATTGATCAATCCAGTTGAAGTGCCTGACAGTTCATTGTACACACAAAAAGGTAGACTTTCGCGGGCCCACGCATTCCAGCAGCGAAACACGCAAATCGTTGTAATGAGTCAAACTGGGCCGTTGTGCGTCGGGCTCCGGTGCCAAGCTTGTGCATAGAAATCAGGCGTTTACCCGTGCAATCATCCGACAGAGTCAAACAACGAAGACGGAACAGCAGGAACCATGGAACAGCGTGCTTCATCTCTCTCAGGAGACGTCACCTGAGAGTCAAACTGCGACAGCTAAAAAGGGCCGTGGAACACAAAATGGCAGAGGCTCTTTCTATCTATCCAGAGTCGGGCCACGGTGCTAATCCAAAGCATGATTATTCTGGTGTAAATCACAACTACTTACTTCACCATTGCTCGTTGGCTGTGGAAAGATATGAATAGTGGCAACAAAGCTCGGATAAAGAGACAACGTTGTGCACGGGTGACAGACGTGGGCCAATGAGGAGGCGGCGAGGTCCGAGCAAGCAGTGCTGCAAATCTCCCCTTACACCTTTTAAGAAACAACCCGGAGGAGGCCTCGGAGGAAATGCGTTCGGCTGGGACAAGCCAGGGGGGTGCGGCCAGTTCATAGCCTAAAATCAGATCCATAATTGTTTTGATTGTCCGCTTCTCACAGGCGACGGAAGCCAAAAATCGTAATTAAGTTCAAAACTTGAATCATCGCCAAGCCCTACCCCCAAAAATCCAGCAGAACCTCACAGGAGGCGCATGGCGTGACGACCGACAGAATTGAACACCAGCAGAATAATCGTGCTGCCAAGTCATTACAAAGATTATCATTCACAACTACGCATTTTCTCCTCCTGAATACTAACACGTTGAAAGTAGATCCTCGTCCACCATTCAGCCCTTATTTCCCACATGTTTAATCCAACTAAGATGAGGAATTAGAACTGGAAAATCTCTTTATCCCACCGCCGAGGGTGATATCTATATGGACTCGAACAGCACCAGGACCAGGGGGATGCAGCAGAGCCATGAACAACCACCTGGTTGCTAACTCGGCTCACACTCAATTAAGTATCACACTGGAACACTGGAGAGAGACTGCGTGCTAATGCAAGAAAGCAGAAGCAGAGCTGCTATTCACAGATCCATTATTCTCCATGAACCTTTTATTCCATAATCTATTTGGCGAGCAGCAGAATGTTTGCTGTTTATGAATTTGGCACTCTAGTGCTTTCAACGAATGGTTATTATCGTGACATGCACAAAATGGCCTTTGCTGATGGGATGCCTGCAACGGGGTTTGCTGCTACTTGCATTCTCTCACTTGTTTGTGCTTCTTTAATGAGGGAAGAGTCTGGAACACGTTGTATATCAATTAAGCCGTCAAAGACGGTGGGCATTTATGACCGCGGCCTTTAACCCCGGGGTGAAAGACCAAACCCTTGTTTTTGCATTTGAAAAGAAATGGTCCAAACAACTGCTGCAGTAAAATGTGTTTCCAAGCCCTTCCCTCCACGTAGAGAGCACGGATTGTCCCGGCCCTTTGGTTTTGAATAATCTACAGCAATGAGTAATAAAAAAAAAAGAAACAACAGCAAAGTTCTTCGCTCCAACATCTAATTGGGTTTCGGAAAAAAAAAAAACCCTCAGCTCGTGCTCAAATAAGACGTTTACCGGGAGGCTTCTTACATGCAATTTTTGAGACATGTTCCGCCCCGTTGATTGAACAGCTTCAAAAGCTTTTCGACCGTGAATCCCAAGGGAACCAGTTAATCCTGATCTTCTCCACAAGCAAAGGGATCATCTCAATGTAAATCAGACAGGGGCTTTTGATCAAAGTATTCAATCGGCCCTAAAAACATGTGACGCCACAAGGAGCCTCGCAGCGAACAAGGTCAACGTCTCGGTGGTTCTGGAGCTCAGAGGAGGTGGAGAGAAAAAAAGAGAAAAAAAGACACCACAGATGTTAGATATTGCCCTAGAAAATATTTTCCTGACTCAGAGAATGTGTCAGAGAGAACCAGGAGAGTATTGCCATTTAAAGCATGATCTTACACTTCTTGACTTCAGTCCACCCTCTTCCATTCCTCCGCTGAAATAAGGGCAAAAGACTAAATTGACTTTCCCAAGACGTAAACAAACAAGTAAACTTTCAACTAAGCCCTAACACCCACCCCTTCTGGATACACACACACTATCAGGCTCAGGCACACACATAAGGTGTCGTCTCATTGTTGGCTCGTTTTTTTCCCCCATTAAAAGGTTGTCAATGGCACCAGTAACGTTGCTCCTTCCGATTAGAAGCAAGCACACATATTAGGGGACTGTTTATATAATTAGGCCCACTCGAGGAAGCTTCAGTGTCAGTATGATGAATGTCAAATTATGACTCCATTTATCAAAGCACCAGTGCTTCCTTCAACACATCTCCTTCCACCCGAAACACACACACAATCTCTGATAAAATACATAAAGTATTCAAGAAGATGTAGGATTGTAAATCGAGCACAAATATAATTTGATATAATTTAATGCTGATAAAGAAATGTGGGATTTGCACCAATTGTTTTATTAATTCTCCGCTAACAAACAGGAGCTGATGATAAGCAGGGCACTGGTTTCAATTATCACCCCGGAGCACTTCACAATGAAACGCTGGGGAGAATCTGGCCCACACGGTTTTCTGCACACATTGCCATCTGCCTGCTGCCCGGGTAACTGCGTTATTTTGCAGGGGAGTAAGTATTCTGCAGCAGTTATGATTGGGTTTGTTTCCGAGATAAAAAAAAAAACACTTTCCAATTTTCTTTTACTTAGTTGCACATCTATTACTGCAAAAAAAAGAAAAGAAACGCAGCCTCACATACGGTCATCCATTCATGCGTCAACATAGTCTCCACAGCACGTACACACAGTGAGGAGCAGGGAGGTGATGACAAAATGAGGCGCGTCGTGTCTCCACTGGAGCCTGCTGCTTACCTTGGACGTGCAGCGCTGCGAGCAGTATCCATATCCCCGCACACATCGCCATGGCGCCTCCTCAAACTATCCGGATCTGGTCTGACAACCTGAGAGTGGATGGACGGGAGGATTGTAGGGGGGGGGGGCGCTCACTCGAGACGACAAAGACCGAGCATGCAACTTCTGCAAAATCCCACTTCGGAAATCCCTCGCTTCTCCCTCGCTGCGCAGTAGGAGACTTTTCGCAAAACTAGAGGGTCTAGAGTTGCGCGTCTCTGTGCCAGAGCATCAATTTCTACGTCGATTCCTTTCGGCTGCCGGAGTTTGCACGAAGTACAACCTGGTTTTTCCCCCCCCGAAACAATGAGATCCAAGCGGCTACGGCTTTGCAGTTTATGTAATTGTTTTAATAGTAGTTTTAGAGATACAGCAGGCGATGGGCGAAGGAGAGTTGCGGTTTGTATCAAAGCAGCAGCGCTTCTAGAGGAACCGTTTAGCCGTGGTCGCTCCCTCCATCCACCGCAGCGGCTGCAGGACTCGCTCCCTCCTTCCCAGCGTTGTGGAGCAGAGGAGAAGTGGGCGGGAGGTCCGCGATCGATGCTGCGCTGGGGGAAGTTTCCAACACTTGCGGGGTTCCTTCGGGGAGGATGGGGGGAAGGAGGGGGGGGAGGGTGTCGCCTCTCTGCACACAGCACCGCAACAGATCACCTGCAAGGCGCCGAGCCTGTCTTAGTTCCTCAACTTTTACGGTTCTCCTGGTCCGCAGCGAACGGCCGGCCGAGGAGATCAGCACACCGGCCCGGCGAAGTTGGTAGAACTCTTGGAAATGAACGGGATGCGTAAACCCCCCTTTTTTTCCCTCCTCTCGGTCGTTTCTCTGTATCTGGCAGAGGGGGAGGTGGGTGAAATACAGTGTTGCCTTGTCGAGCTCTGCGCACCGCCCCGCTGATCCGCCGCCACAGTCTGCTGCTCGATGCCGCTGACGCTTCGACAGAGATCTGGATTGGGTGACGTCGTGCAAACGGGGAGGAGCCTAGATTGTCCTGCATAAAACCAAATACAGCGCCTGGACGACGCACACACACACACACACACACACACGGGTACGAGCTGCAGCCAGGTGGTAGCCACACAGGAAGTTCAGCGACTTTAACACAACTCGTTTGGAGCAGAATGTGATACAAATGTGACAAAGGAACAACAACCCCTTCAGGAAGGTGGAAGAGGAAGAGAAAGGTTGGGGATGTGGGGAAATAACGTGATAATAACGAGTGTGCGAGTCATGCCGGAGTGAAATAAGGAGGATTTTGAAATAAGCTTCCACTCATGTGTCCAACATGGCCACCAAAACCTTTTGAGACTAAAGGTAAACCAAAAGTGACACTGTGGTGACTGAAACAAATGCTGAGGCTGTCTTATTTGTTGCGGAAGCGGCATTAACCCCTATGACAAACTACTTCTACTTCATTATTATTACAGGAATACATTAGTTTGATAAGTGCTAAAGCTAAAATATGGCCCAAGTGGGTTCACAGTGAGGTAATGTTTTGCCAATTTAAAACTAGAAAAGCACAGTGCACTGAACAAATTGCTGTAAATTTACGGTGCTTTTCTAACGGTATCTTACAGTATGTCATAATAACTGTAACATACAGTTAAATTTCCATCCCTTGCTTGTAAATTAACGGCCAATGTCATGAAATTTACGATAATAGCAGACTACCGTAATTCAACTGCATGTTACATATATTTTATGAAGTGGTGGAAATACATATACAAGTGCAGTGAATCACAATCCATCTACATCTTTTGTAGGTTAATGTATGGAAGCCCATGTCAGCCACTGAAAAACAGGTGCTGTAAGTCATCATAATGAGATAGTATTTCATGAGATACGATGATGACTTTGACTTACAGGACATTACTATACATGTAGCTGTCACTTTTATCCAAAACACCCATGGTTTGACATAATGGTTTGACATAATTATATGTGGAGTAATTGGGGGTTAGGTGTCTTGCTCAGGGACATTTCAACTTGGCACAGGGAGCAGCCAGGGTTCGATCCGCCAACCTTGCGCTGCACAGCCCACCCTCCCTATCCCATGCGCAGCCTTCGCCATCATTTGTATGGCTGGAATGTAAAGATTAGAAATATTTGTATTATTCAAAGTGTTCATTGCCTAAAAGTCATTTGAGTGTCAATCTTGACCGACTGCTTCTGAACGTGACCCGTCAGACGCGTAGTCTCAGTTCATCTAGACCACCTGCGTAGTTCAACATCGGAGGAGTTTCTCATTGCCTCGTCTCTCCAAGTTATGTTGGTAAGTGTTATTTGCCTAGCATGATTAGCATTCTCTTTCCTTACATCTTGTTGTCTTCCTCATCTTTGTAATTTTAATATTTTAACAATGACAGTGTTTCTAAATATTTTATTTTGGTTTGTTTTACAGAGGCTCTGGATTAAGGACGCCAGCCGTTTGCTGCGGTGAATTGAAAGTGTTCCATAGCGTATTAGTGCAGTTAGTTTACCTTGTTCCTAATAATTTTATGATTCATTTTCTTTTATTATTGTATACATGCAGAATATTTTATGTTTTGTTCTTGGTTACAAATGTCTAACATTTTTGTCTTAAAAGGCATCTAATAAACTCCAACTACTATGACTGAAATGAGTTTGGTTGTCTTTCTTTAATTCGTGGGGAATTAAATGCAAGTATACGGTTATAAGTAAACGGTAACATTCTGGTATTTATAACACAAAAACAGTAATCCTATGGTAATAAACTGTAATCCAATATACGGCAACATACCGTATATTATGGTAGTGCACTGTAAAACAGTAAATTACTAGCGTCAATTGCCAGTAAATTGCAGTTAATTCACAGTAAAATTGGTTCAAGTTTATGGTAACATACAGTAATCCATTAAACGGTAAGATACTGTATTCTACGGCAGTGTACCATAAAACAAATTTCTGGCATCCGCTGCCCGTATTTTCCCGTTAATTCAGTGTAAAGTTCCAATTTACTGTAATCCATATTACAGTAACATAGTGTAAAAACCATTTACGGTATTATACTGTAAATTAATTGTAAATTCCTGGCGTCCATGCTGCCAGTAAGTTACCGTTAATTTACGGTGACATTTTTTAGAGTGTGGGAAAAGTGGAAACATTTTACTTACATTTTTAGATTTTAAATGTATTCACTTACATGGCAGCTGTTGGATCTGACAAACACTACTGAGCCCCCTTTTTCCTTCCTTCCATTGTTCCTTCTTTCCTTTCTCCTCACCGTCAAGCTAGTCCATCCGGATCCGGTCTGTAAAGGTAATGCTTGGTAATGAACAGTAGGGTGGATGTGATAACACTTCCCTCTTGTGGACAGTGTTCTTCTGATAATAAGAATCAGACATCCATCGTGCTTAATTACGCCGAGTCGATCGTGCAGTTTGGGGGTCCGCAGGCTCGCGCGTAGTCAAATGAAATGCTGAACAACAAGAGAAGTTACCTGGCATGACTAAACAGCAATGAGACAGTCGGGTATTAGAGTCGATATAGCGTTTTGGAAAACAGCAACATAAATCATGCCGGATAAAGTGGAAAAAAGACATGCGTCACGCAGTATCTTTTTCTTTTCGAAGGCTACGCAGTTAATTAACATGCCTACAGTCCTGTTAGACGCAATGGAAAACAGACTAGTGCGTACTGGGAGAATACAGATAAACTCTGTAACACTTGACATTTTGTCTTGTTAAATGCAAAGCTGCCAAGGGAATACAAAAGGGCTGCCGCTCGAAATTCTGGATGCTTTCTCCAAGGTAGTGGTCTTAGCTAAATTGAATCATTTCAACTGTATATATTGCAGCTGAAATTAATTACTATCTATTGGCAAGGCCCGCACAGAGAGAGGGAATCCACGAGTATCCTGCAAGATAGCAGGGTAATTTCCAGGGTTGAGTAAAATGTACTGTATGAATTAACAATGTCAATTTTACACCATATTTTACCATTCACATCACTTTACTTGACAAACCTTGAAATGTCAGTGCAGCGGCAACAGCCCGGAGGTATATGAGATGGGCAGGAGGCTAAATAGATAGACAGGGGGAAACGGAACGCAAAATACTCTTCTTCAAGGACGGCTACCTCAAATGCACCCTTGAGCAATACTCTTCACCATTAGCTGCTCCAGTAGCGGGAACTCACTGGTCAGCAGTGATTTCACACACCAAGCGACTGAGTCGAAAAATCTCCTCCGACAAAATAGCCTCCATGGTCTGCCAAACTTCCTGTGACACATAATGGACAAAGTACTCAGGGTTTGCCCCCTTGCTTTAGTGCATTAACTCCGATGTCTCCATCATTGATCGGCCGAGGTTATGATTGATTTACAGGCAAGCTGAAGAAATCTGATACACTCGCTCTGAGCTACAGCTTGTGCCAGAACTTGGGGTGGGTCGAAGCCAATGTGGAGATTTAGGAACTATTACGTGTGAAAAAGATGGTTAAATTAAAGGTGAGGACCACAAAAGATAACAGATGATTTTCACTGCAAAGGGGATTGACAATTGAGTATTCTTCTGATGATAGTGTCCCTAATGTATGAATATATATGAGTAGAGTTCCAACATTGTATAACCTGTGGAACTTTGTTCCATCTCCCTGCCGTTGAGGAACAGAGACACAGATGATTACAGGTCATTTGCAGACATCATTTCTGTAGAACTACGCTAGATATGCCATAAAGATATTAGGTGAGACATTTCCCAACAACAACAAAAATACATCGTCAATGATGGAAAAAACAGTGCACCGCGTGAGGCAGCTAATCTCCATCAGAGCAAACCGGGATGGCCTTATCAACCTTTTACAGTGTTTCTGTCCATAGAGGAACCAAAATTGTCTCTCCAGCATGAACAGCATGTGCTCCAAGAAATCTTTGGAAGAAGAAAAAAGGAAGTCGTGCAGGGTTTAGCTCTCCCAGTAGGCCCTTGGAAAAGCCGAGCGTGTACTGCTCTCACCTCTGGTGCCTCGGGGTCTGACAAATTGAAGGGAAAATACCTTTTGGTGGATCAAAATGAATTATTTAGGAGGTTTCTCACAGTGGGCCATGGTGTTTTAACATTTGTCACCAGACCTCTGCCCATGTTCTGCACATCAGTGGGACACATATGCAAATGGTAACATGTGGAAAAGTACAATATTTAATCTGTAGAATATTTAGTGGACCCCTCAAATACATTTCAACTCATGTGTTGGTGTTTGTCAACAATTGAGAGAGAAGCTGTTACCATTTACCTTCTCTATTCAGCATCCGTGGTCTCCCACCTTGACATTTCAGGGTAAATCCATACAACACTATTGTTTTTGTCCCAAAGGAAACCACAATCTAGTGAAAGCACTGCATTAGGCTTTAGTTTTCAGAAGAATTAGACATCTAATACAATATAAAAGATGCAAACCTTGAATGAACTGAAATGAATCATTTTTTTAATTCTCTAACACAAGATATTACTTAGAGCTAATGCTGTAACTCTAATGAGTTACTGATAATCAGAAGATTCAAACGACTTGTGCACGAATGTGCTTTATCAGAAAAACCTGGATAATACCAGCTCCCTTTTCATGAGAATGGAAACAGATTTTGTAATTTAAAAAAAACACCTCCTAATCATAACAAAAGACCTTGTTACGCCAAGAAAGCCAAGCGATTTTTCTCTGTCAAGCCAAATGTGATATGCCTCCATAGTTCACTCCTTTTTTTTAAAGTACATAACCGGTGGCTAGGCGAGGTAATACAGGTGACGCTGCAGCCTGCAGCATTTCCAACTGTGTGTACAAAGCATCTATTCAGCTCTTGTGTACTCGATGTAGAAGTTTTGTGTGTGTTTCACTTACAAGACAAGGAGGGATAATTTGCTGGTGCACGTGGGTGTGTGTGTGTGTGTGTGTGTGTGTGTGTGTCTATGGGTCTGTTTGTGTAGCCAATGTGTGTTTGTGAACGTGTGAGACAGACTTTGGATAACTCTTTCCCTCGGGGGAACATTGAGGAAAATGCCAGTTCCCCGCTGGAAGAGGAAATCAATCTCTAATAAAGTAACCAGAGTCACTTCCTGTTACCCACCGACTACAGTGGTCAAGTTAACCAGGGAGTGAGCGAATGATTGAACAACTCACACTACGACTGTGGGTGAGTGGGGAGTACGGTCGTCCTCCAATCAGAGGGTTGTCGGTTCGATCCCAGGCTCTGCTAACCCGCATGTCGATGTGTCCTTGGGCAAGACACTTAACCCAACATTGCTCCTGTAGCTGCGACTACAGCGTATGGATGTTAGTTACTGATGGCAGGTGTCACTGTGTATGGTTCTCCTGTCATCAGTGTATGAATGGGTGTGAATGGGTGAATGATGTCATGTAGTGTTAAAGCGCTTTGAGTGGTCGGAAGCCTAGAAAAGCGCTATACAAGTACAGGCCATTTACCATTTACCAACCACAGTTGTATCTGCAGGGAGACAGGTGACCGCTGTACGCTTGCCGGCCGCCACTAACGAGTAAGCAGGACGTGAACAAAGAGGGGGCTTCTGTGGCAGAACGCTGAGTTGACAGAAAAGAGGCTCAACAATGGTAGCCCGTATGTTGAAATGGTTATTTTTCAATTGAATCAAGTTCATCTTCATCAGTATCCAAAAGCTAACCATTGAGTTCAGCTGCTGCTCCGATTGTTCGCTTTCACCCATTTTCAAAACCCCCACTTGAAGTTGAAACGGTGCAGAAGGGGTTGCGATTGTAATCTCTGCAAGCCGCGGATCCAGCAGCTACGTCTCAGCACAGAGGACGTTTTGCTGCGGCAGCAGGATAAAGAACTCAGCTTTGATGATAATGAGATGGATCACATGCATGGCAGCACTTGCTAAGTTACACCATTTTAACTATCTGTCACCTGGCTCGTTTTCTTTTAACCAGCCACTTCAGTGTCCGAGAGCAGGCTGTCCAGGCTGTCTCCACTGACTTAGCTGCCTTGTTAAAACGTGGATGCTCCTGCTCTCACTCAAGAGCTGTGAACAAGACATTTTTATTTCGATGGTGCCGTCAGCCATAAATGAATCACTCGCGGCTCCATAATCACGGTACCTTTCCTGATGGCAATGAGCCACATTTATTTCACTCATCGGTGCTAAATATAGATGAGGCTTAGCGTTCCTTCTGGTACTGTGCAAGGTTACTGTCGTTTCCACGTGGGCCTGCCGCCGTGGTTTCGCTTTCAATCCAATCAATTAAAAATGTAAATAGAAACTGCTTGATTTGCTAATGGTAGAGTTTTCCCTCTGATATCTCCCGGTTTCGGTATGACTATCTTTTCACGCCAAAATCTTTTTACTGTTTTGAGTTTTTGAATATCCACTTTGCGAAATTGATTGCTGAATGGAGAACAAATTGAATCCAGCCTTTGTTGCCGGCGCTCAAAAGCCTCAGTTGAGCTTCACATATTTGCGGGGAATGTTCCGTGCCTGTACTGTCTGATAAAACGCCTAATATAATTGACATCCTTCCTCGTACCATACAACAAGGATTTAGCACGCTGAGGGGAAAAAACCCAGTGATGTCTCCAGGGCTCCTGAGAAAATAAAGACTCTCCGTTGCCTCGGCTTCAAGACACCACAGGGGTATTAAAGGACGATTATACAAAGAGCTACGCCCACAAAGCACACCTCTGAAAACAGTGTTGCCAACATAGACTGCATCAGCAATGCTCCAATCTGGGAGAAACAAGAATGAACCATCTTCTGAAAGAATCAGAGGGGGAGAACAGAAGGTGACACAGCGTTCCTATCAAAGTCTCAATCCTCCAGTTGGCATGCTTAATTACTCGGCATTAAATTAACCAAACTCCTTGTATCTAATTATATTGTCAATCATCCAGAGTGTCATGTAAGATGTAATCGTTAAAGACATGTCCTTGTTGAGCAAATGTCCCCCCCCACACCCCCTTCCATGTGTGGTTTACACAGAACAAACATCAGTTATTGCAGTAAGTGGCTCTGTTTACTATTATTATCTACTATTATATCAGGTTGCCATTCATGTTCTTTTTGACTGCGGGTAACGCGCACCATCAAACAAAAGAGAAAATGACAAAAGTAAATGAATTCATAGGAAATGCCGTTCTCCTCGGACTATGTAAATGAATGCAAAGTAAATGTACGAGAACATAGATTGGACATGTTGAAATGCAGACTGTGTCATGCTCAGGCTATTCCAGACTGCTCCCTGAGGCGGGGGATTGCATTTCTTTATTTCAAGGGAACACATCGTTAAAAGTGTTTGTGCTTCCTACTGGTGCCTATGTTAACTATTTATATTTCATGACTTATTTACTGTCGAGGTTATTAGCATGTATGTATAAGGAAAGAGTGACACAAAAGGCCAATCGCCATTTCACAGGGGAAAAACTGTGATATAACTGCCAAATAAGCTGGCGATTCAAATATGAAAATAAACTTTCCGGTCCACATCATGCTCCAAGATTAAGTGGGGACCACGTCAAAGATGCCACAGTGCTGACTCAATGTTTACCTGCATTTTGTGTTCAATGTTTATTGAAGTGCACTTCGATTGGATGTTATGTAATTCGATGATGTGCATTTCCTTTGGCGACTCATCAGAACAAAGTACAATTTCCTTCAATTATTCTCATTTTACAACAATACAATATTCACAGCAAGAAAAGGTTAATCAATCAGGGTTGAATATTAGGGAAAGACGTGATTTGACTTTTTAGGAAAAAAGACCGTCTGCTGGTTGCTGCACATAATAAGGAAGGCAGACAATGTCTGCTCTCCATTAATAACCTTTAATGCTTTTAACAGCACAGCAGTAGACAGAACGTGATTTCATTGCTTGTGTTTTTTTTTTTCATTGCTTGTGTTTTTGCAAATTTCATTGTGCTGTTCTGCACTGCCATCGATATTAACAATTATAAAAGCCATCAGATGTGCATCCAAATTCAATCAATAGCTCTAACGTTAAGCTCTCAGGAAATGTGCTGCAGGCAGAAGATATTTTTTATTCTGTCATTTGAGTGGGATTATTGTCTGTAGTTGGCGGTCAGAAACTCAGTACATTAAAAGGTTTTTGCTAAGGCCTTTAACATAAACTAACTTTGACACACAACTTGAATATTGAGGGGCGAAAAACGGCGTAATTTTGTATTATAAACACCGATTGGAATGGCGCCTCTACATATGAATTATAAGACAACAACCTACAGGCTCCTTAGTTTGAACAAAGACAGCAAACTTTATTTCATCTTTCAACCTTGACAAAGGCAGTACGGGCCATGAATGTATAAAGAGAACACTCAAACCGTTAAAGAGGCACTTTTATTGCCACTGTCACCCCAGTGCTTGCTCAGGGAATGTAGTGTTTCTGTAAATTATAGAGTACGGTTGGAACCTGCTTTGTATAAAAAGTCTCTGAATGACTTCTTTTATGATTTGACGCCATATGAATTGAAAGTTGAGTCGATACTGTGTGAAAGGAGGGGCTCCGCTGTGAAAGTCGCTTGGTGGTGTCTGAAGCAAAAAAAAAAGTGACCTTTTGAGTGTGGAATTATCCAGATCTCCCGGTGATCTTCATGCATCCATGGGAACCACACAGTAAGAGCACCTTTAAGCGTTTCCTTCAACTGCGACTTCCTTTAACTGCGAGTCCTCGGTAGGAAGGAGAAATACCTCTGAATTCTGTGATTGGTGCTTAAACAACTTGGTATTTATTTACATTTGTTCCCAATTTAGGTGTATGTGAAAAAGTAGTTTTTGGACCCCTGGCATCATGTGATCAGAAGTTGCAATGCCTCCATTTGGCTTGTGTGTCAAATTTACCTGGATGGCAAAAAGCTTGGCATTGTTCCTGGGAGCTTGGCCCAGACTAGACCCACTCCTTGGGTTCCCGCCTTTCCCAATAAAAGGCAGACATAATAACATTTTCAGTTGAGTATTTTACTTTGTTACTTTCGTTATGTACCTTTATGCACATCGTACATGCAATTAAAGACATAGCACTTTATGAAGTGAACGCGTTACTTGAAGTAGCAAAGTCTGCAGAGTTGAACCGCTGAGCAAGATGGCAGAAGGAAGACCGGGGAGCTGCAAGTAAAGGATTATATCTGGAGATCTTTAATTTCAGTCTTGGGCTTCAAAGGGCTGCAGAGCGAAATGAGAAAGCTGGTGAGTGACCGGTGGGCTATCAGCAAATGGGTGGGCAGTGACACAGGGCTCATCAGGGACCATTCTGGAGACAAAATGACTCTGACTGTCTGAATACATTTTAGCTTCGGGCAGCAGCATACTCCAACATCATATTTCATTACGGCTGCAAAATATGTCATGGAACTAAAAGGATTACTATTTCTGGTCTGCGGTTATACTTCAGAGAGATGGAACACATTGTGTCATGTTTTGTAGAAGATCTGAACAAAAACAAAAAATCTGTTTCGACGGAGAGCTGGGAAGCTTTGTGTATCTGGAGTACTAGAGTGCATCTTCTCTATTTTCGTATTAGCACAGCGTGGGCGCCCCGGAATCAGCTCCCGATCAATCCTCTTTAATTCTTATGTGAGAGAAACATCTGGTTTCCAATTAGATCTATAGTGAGCCCGACAACAGGGGGGACACCTTAAAGTAGCAGTAGTGTCACTGTGGCTGCAATAATGATGAGGCTAATGTGCCTATCGAGCGACATGCGGATCGAGAGCTCAGCCTGACGCAGTATCTTAAGATAGCTCTGAGCAGTCTGTTTCTTCCGATAAGGTGCAATCTGATTCAACGGGGTGAGCATGCTGCAGCAATATTAGTTGTTTGGCAGAAAAGAAAACCAGTCTAACAGCCATAAATTAATAAAAAAAATGCGCCCTCAATCAGAAATCTGGTCATCTTGGTCTCATGTTGCCGTTTGAAAACCCAACAGTCCATCAGCCTATCTCTGACATCCTTTGCCCGTATGTGTTTGAATAACACCCGTGAGCATGCCAGGGGGTTATCAGCATTCACCTCCCGGTAACAAGCCTGCTTATATTTGTTGTGAAAACATTTATTTTTTTATTTTTTTACAGCAGAGGTAGCAACATTTGGGAATATGAAGATAGCTGAAATAAATAAAGAAAAAAGGATCTGCCAGAGCTGATAAGACTTGAGGAACGTGAAATTGATTACAGTCCGTCTTCCTCAGCATGTGTGTGTTGGTGATCTAACCACAAAGCTGCCAAACAATTCAGTGGAAAGGAAGGTTTTTTGACTCATGACATAAGTGATTATCAAAAAGGTTAGTTCAAGGGTTCACCTTTGGGACGTGATGGGAGACGAGGGCCAGTTGACTAAACTCGGTAATCACGGCAAGCATTTCGACATTCATTTCAAATTGCTGCAAAGGAAGAAAAAAAAACATTTGTGTAACCCAAGTTCTACGATCACGGGAGGAGGCAGCTAAATGGCTCTGCGGGTTTTGGAGCAGGACCAGAAGATTGGTGGTGTTTTCACTGTATTGCATTCCTCTCCTTGCATGTGTCTGACATATATGGAGTGGAAGAAGTGAAGCATGATCCCCTGCTGCTCCCTTCACGTCCCCCGAGGCTTCTGACCTCCTAGGAGGAGCTCACACTCTAGTGATGATCAGCACACATGGCGCTCCTCGGCCCCCAGGGCTGACAAGGACTGGCAGCCAATACAAATAAACTGCTTGCAGTGTCTGCAGGTTAGGATGTGCATCTCTGGACAGAAATGCTCAAGAAATACATTACAGCATCATGCCCCTGAGGTACGGTCAGTCATCAAAGTGAAAGGCTTGCCACAGTCGTCAGAAGTCCATTGGATAACAATTTCATTTCGTTTTTTGAGTCTCTTAGAATATAGTAAAACCACGGTGTGAGTGTCAAATATTACGACATACAGACATGCACAAATTAATAGACTTGGTGTCTAGGAGGTAGATCCCTAAACTGTTTCAGGTGGAGCCCGTAAATACCACCTGAAATACGTCGTTTCTCATTACTGAATAGCAGTGAGTACACAGGGGAAAACCCAATCAATTCAATCAGTCAATTGGGCGGGCAAACAGGGGAAGTAGGGGAGTATATATACGTGTAGGGTTGGCAGAGGGATAAACCAGGGGCAGGTCATTGAGTGCAGGCTTAGTGAATTAAGGATCAGAAGAAACACAAGTACAGGAACTGATATGACAGGGCAGATTGGTAACAAAACAAAACCGGAAATACATATAAAATTAACAGAATGTTACAATAATGTCTCCCGGAGCTCCATGTTTATTGTGTCATTATATTTGAAATGATATTATTTAGAGATGGATGTATCCTGTGCTCGGTGTGTAGGAACCTTTTGTGAATGTTGTCAGTAAAATGGAGACAAATAGATTGCATGGCCAAGTGGATTGGAGCTCAGCAGCTAATGACTTTGGAGGGTTTGTTGATAGTAGCAGATAATTTGCCTGTATTGTTATTTTTTGATGTTATGGTGTCAGAGAAGAAGGACTACATTGTATATTTCATATTTTAATCTTTCTTTATAGACGTCACAGTGAACCTCGAGATTTGTTTTTTGCCACCTGTGCTACGACCAACGCGGCGTTTATGCAAAAAGAACTTCGCTTACCAGCGACATCAACCACGTCTGAGACACCAGAGAGGGCTGGTGTGGGGGAGAACTAATAAATAGTTCGTTTTTTTTCAGGGATAGAACACTTTGTCACAACCTTGGTCTGGGCATTTGAGTGCAAGGTGATTGCACTCTCCAAGAAAACACAAAAATGATGAGAGAGTGGAAACATCAGTCACAGCCACCTTGGAAATATTTAGACCGTTGGTGATTATTAGGTACACGGTGTGCTCTCTGCTGCGGGGGGGTCCTGTCACATGCTGAGGGAGATCATAGTCATCAAGGACACCACGTGGTTCTATTGAACATCTTATCAACATGGATATTGGAAATATCGCCAAGAATTACAACACAGTAAAATTCAATACAGATTATAGACAGCAGTTGAGAAAACTCATCAGAGCAGATTGGACAGTATATAGATGGTCCGGAATAAAGCGGGTGAGGAATTCAGACTAATGGCAACTCTACCTCCTTTCTTATGCATTCTTGTTTCACTCATGAAACAGAAGTTTGGTGTAGAGGAGGTGTTGATTGGAACAGCTGCACTGTTATTTTGGTCTTACCAAGTTTGAAACTCAAGTTTTAAAACCTAATAAATAAAATCATTGATTAAAAATCTTTTTCCTTCCAGAGACCTGACCTTTAATAAAGCTTAGTTTAATGTGTTTAAAGCTCTGTTTGCTCAATTTATTTGGACATGTTGCTGACGAGGAAGGAATACTGTATTAAGTTTGAAGAGTTTGCAGATTCATTATTGTTTCCTCACTGTTTTTCTATAAACTATCAGGATGGGAATTGAGACGGCTCGCTGCATATGTGGACCTGGCTTTTTTGGAGCAAATCATTGGTGTCATTAGCCTTGTAGCCTGGACCCAGAGATAATATTGGACCGCCAACACACACTGTCGCGGCGTTTTGAAGCAACGATTTTGGGCTGTCAGGCATTTTGCCACCTCTGCATCACCCTTGATCATCAATCATTTGCAACGCATCATGCTGTGTTCCCCATTTGTTCAGTAAAAATGTTCATGGAATGGCTGGCGTTGGTATTATAAAAGCCAAATGGGTCATTTTTCTGTAAACGAACGATGGAACGATGGTGGACATATAGTCTTTGATGGAAATTCATAGCACTTTGTTATCCTTTAAAGATACAATGACATGTATTAGGATAGATCTGATGTGATTTAACATATGAAACTCCAAAACATTCATTTTTAGTTTCAAAGGCGGTATTTCGGTGCAGACAACTGCACAACTAGACTTTAAAACTGACTGAACTAATGGTCTTTATCCCAGGCAATAGCAGCTCTGTAACAGAAAGAAGCAGCATAGAAATATCCACAAACCAAGGCCCTCTAAAAAACGTATGAAATATTCATACTACTTTGGTTGTCATGGAAACATAGGCAAATAGCAAGTCCCACAAGGCCTCCAGACACTGATGGTCTGAGGCTCTTTTTGATGATGAGCCGACCCGACAATATTTTCTCCGTCCCCATGCAAGTAGGAAGGACGCCATCACTGTGCCTCGATCAAACAGGATCTCAAAAACCTTTTCACAGAATCCTCTTTTTTTCGAGTCGGACTCACATTTGCATTATGACCTTTCCAACCACAGAGGCCACAGTAAAGGGACATGTGTGGTGTTTGCGATATACGGTTACTTTTTGGATAAACAACGGCTTTGGATAACTTCAAAGGCTTAAACAACACATCTATACTACCAAATAATACCAAATCTATAATACCAAATATATATATATATATAATTTGGTATTATAGAGTTCTATATATATATTTGGTATTCATACAATAGAAAAACAGGGTCTGGTTTAAATGAAAATGCATGTGTTACATCAGTATGAATGCCCTCAGTGGTAAATGTTCCTGAGGTAATAAATGGACTCAGTTTATAAAATAACCAGCATGCAAAGCCCTACATACATAAATAAATCAATCAATGGATTTTCCATAAGAAACCTGTCCAGCACGAGCGGTTAAGATTATTTGATCAACAAGCCAAAAACTCATCAATTTATGATGAAATGTTGTGTTATTATTTGATTATTCATTGTGTCAACAGTTTATTTTCTGTTGATCCACTAAAGACAAATTGATAATGGATGTCTTCTCAGGAGAATATATTTAAAGTTAATCAAAGACTCAAAGATGCTTGGCGATTCTGTTAGGTATAGCTTTTCAAAAGGGCTGTGCAGTTCTTTGCATCCCACGCGTTCATGGTCACACACTGTGTGTATTTTCTTTTTTTTAAATGTGTGTTTGTGTGTCTGTGTGTAATACCGTTGGAAAAGGAGAGTGAACCTGAGAAATCAAGGAAGGTGACGTGCTGCTGTCTGAGTGAAAGCCAGCTTCGGGATGCGTCGGCTACACTATCTGTTTGGCCACCAGAGCACAGGGCTGTGCTGGTGATGTGATAAGACGCGACCCACGCATAAAACAGGCTTAGTCTCCTAGAAAAGTTCTTAAATCAGCCTGATGCGCTTAGTGAGCAAAGACTGTGGGAATTGAAGTGAAGAAACTCAGGTCAGATAATG